TATAAGTCAAGGACTGCCTGTAGTTGAAGTAACTTTTGAGCGGGCACAAGTTTGCTTCTGTCCAACAAATGCGGAGAGCATTATCTAGCAAGATATCACGTTCCCCAAGAGAGCATCCTAAGTGGAGCGAGAGAGAACTTTCAGGCTGCATGTTGGAAGGTAGAGAGGTCACAATAGACTTGAGATGATGTAGAACCTCTCCAACTTAAGTGATCATCTACCCAGAACACCGTCATTGATGACTTTTTCATTGGACACAGGAGTGGCAGAAGTTTGCCAGAGCTCAGGTTTTCTCAGGGGACGCAGAAAGAAGCATCTCCCTAATGCAGGCATTTGAGGGGCAGAGCAAATTGTCTCTCTATCCCATAATCCTGGATACCCAGGAGTCATGTTTAAGATTTTTCAAATGTCTTGGAATGAAGGTGAGTGAGGTGATAGCGCACAGTAAGAGAGCCCAGAGTTTTCAAGACTTTTTAAGTTTGGGGAAGTAATTTTGAAGATTTCTTTGAATTCTCAAATGTTATACTGTACATTCCAAGCTTAACTTAAAGCTTGGGGTGTACAGTATAACATTTGAGAGTTCCTTGTCCAGGTTTTCAGCCAGTCTGGTCAGAGATGGTTCCTGGGGGCCCAGGAAAATAATTCGATTCTCCGATTGCCTTCTTCTGTCCTAAGTTAACCTGCTATGAATGGAACAATCTCCAGTTTGCATTGAAGGCCCACCTGCCTCTCCCCTTCTGGTAGATTCCCAAATGGAGCAGACCCTTTTCCCATTGGATATCGCTGTATCTTGTGTCAGCTTGCAAAGGCACCTTCAGGGCTCTGAAAAATTGCAAATCTGCCTTACGGGCCCAAACTATTTGTAAAAGTAAAAATTATCAAAAGCTGAAACAGCCTTAACAGGTAATAGAGTTTTTTTTCTCCAGAAAAATAATTTGACTCTTGCTTCTTTCAAGAATTGTTCTTTCTTTCTTTCTTTCTTTCTTTCTTTCTTTCTTTCTTTCTTTCTTTCTTTCTTTCTTTCTTTCTTTCTTTCTTTCTTTCTTCCTTCCTTCCTTCCTTCCTTCCTCCCTTCCTTCCTCCCTCCCTCCCTCCCTCTCTCTCTCTCTCTCTCTGTATATCTCTGTGTGAATGTTTACAACTTAACAGATAACAGATAATCAGAGTTGGAAGGGACCTTATAGGTCATCTAGTCCAACCCTCCACCCAAGCAGGAGAACCTACATACCATTTCTGACAAATGGCACTCCAATCTCTTCTTGAAAGTCTCAAGTGATGAAGCTCCCACGACTTCTGAGGGAAAGGTGTTTCATTGGTTTATTGTTCTCACTTCATTTTTTAGTGCTGAAGAACCTGTTGTGGCAGACCCAGATCGCCTCTGGGGGTGTAATCTTCTATTGCTGGGTTTTTAAATATTTCACATAGCTTGTTTATGTTTTGGTCTCTATTGGTTTTACAAATTTTATTAGTTTATCAGAATATAAAATACAAAGGAAAATAAAAACAATAAGAAAAGAGGGAAAGGAAAAAGGGAAGGGAAGAGAAAATGTGAGATAGATTGAGGAAAAGGAGGGGAAAAAAGGTGTTGATTCTCTTTAGCACAATAGAAACCAGCAACATTACAGCATCAGTTTTTTACTTTTATATTCACATCATTTCCGCAGCAACCAATCTATCCAATTGGCAAAACCCAAATGAAAGTTTCACTTTTTTCCATCACAAGCCCGGAACCCAAAAGTGCTTCCCAAATGGAAGCATGATGAGATCTATTAACCTTTCCGAATAAAGCCATTCTTTATTGGATTTTCAACCGTTCAAGATAAATGCTGTCACGTGCTTGCCCACAGACCGCCGTATATACATAACATCTTTATATCTCTGCTGTGCTTTCAGCAGCTGTTGCGTTCAAAGGGGCAAAACCTGCCCATTGAAATCCTCCTGCAATTGTGCGAATTGAGCAATTGTGCAAGGAGGAAGACAGATGCACAATCTGGAACTGATAAAGAGCGTCCGTCCTCGGTGTCTGTCCGTGCGCTTGCAGGGCAGGAAGTATATGTGGTGTTGTTGTTTTTTAATTGCACTTGCTCTTCCGTCACACTTGAGCCTCTGGCTGCTTTCTGAAAACTGATCCAGATGTTGTAATTTCAAAGCATGGCATGCATAGTCTGTGGGGCAGGGGTGCGATGCTGCCGGTATAACAACCGGTTCGTTGATCGCACGCACACGTGCTTTGCACACGCACCTGACGCGAGCTGCACGTGCGTGAACAGCAATGCAAAAAATCCTTACTTGCTATGTTACTTTGGGGGAGTAACACAGCTGAGGAGCAGCAATCCTCACTTCCATGGTGATCAGATGGGACGATAAAGGTCCGTACAAGTAACGATCGAGAATTTGCCTGCAATACTGTATTCCACCATGACTCAGGATGGATGGTGAAGAGATAAAATCAGTGTAATTAGTTACATGGCCCTTTCAGGTTCTTATTTGGACAAATTACACACACACACACACACATATGTACATACATACACACACACACACACACATATACACACACATATGTAAAAGAAGAAGCAGCCACCCTGCGATCTCCAGAACTTAAAATTATATTTATTGTTATTTACTAAGTTTTTGTCAGTCTCTGCTGATATCATCAGAGTATTAAGCTACCATTACAGAGATCTCTGCCTTTATGTATCATTAATCAATTTAGCCCTTGCCCGCATGATAGGCCCTTCCAAGGAGTATTCTAGCTTAATACTCTGACTATGTCAGCAGAGGCTGACAAAAGCTTAGTAAGTACAATAAATATAATTTTAAGTTCCGGAGATCGCAGGATGTCTTTTTCTTCTTTTACAAGTACACCTGGAACTTGTAATTTTAGAATAGTTTGTAATACACACACACACACACACACACACACACACACACACACACGCTCTTTAGAAGTAGAGTTGAGTTACAACAAAGCTGTCAACTTTGCATAGACTTTACATAATTACATTTTTGGTATCTTTTTGTTCCCAAACGGGTACAACTTCAGATGAAATATTTACAAATATTTTGACGTTGGCTTTAGATCTAACGATATCTGGAAAGATTTTTCTGCTGGTTGCTGTTGTCGTGTTCAAAACAAATCAACTCCAAGACCAGAAAGCTTTCACTTATTTTTCCACTCCCTTGCGTTCTTGTTGAGACGGCAAGGGAGAGTTTTGCCTTGCACAATCTTGTCCCTTGAAGAGCCTCCAAGTTTTAAGCCCTCCCTCTCTCCTTTGTATCTTAAAAAGCCAGTGTCGCATGTTTGCAATGCTGATCTGGCATGACTGGAAGGATAGACCGCGGGACAGTTGCATTTTTCTCCTATCTGCTTTTTTCAGGGTTTGTTTTGGATTCTTTTGGTAACAGGAAATGGCGTTTCAGTGGTATTCAAACATCCGCCTCTGGGTTTTGACATTCGACTGAAGCAGAAGCTTCACACATTCATTTGCCATACATATAATACATACAATGTCTGGAATACTCTACCTGACTCTGTGGTTTTTTTCCCCAAACCCCAAAAACATGAACGTTAGACTGTCTACTATTGACCTCACCCCTTTCCTAAGAGGTCTGTAGGGGGTGTGCATAAGCGCACCAATCGTGCCTACCGTCCCTGTCCTATTGTTTCTTTTTATTTTTCTTATATGTACCCATTTCATGTATTCATAACTATGTATATACTTATACCTAATATCTTGTAAGCAATTGACAAATAAAAATAAAATAAAATGAATAAAATATAGAAATGCAAAGTTTTCCTTACAATGTTGTAGATCTTTGCTAATTGAATACATTACTTCATAGCTTGGGCTTTCCTGATAAATCTGTAATTAATACCAAGAGTTTGGAATCTTTAATCTTCATTATTAGGCTTGTTTTCCATTGTTCCTCTAGTGTCCTTAGAGCTTTCTACTCCTATAGAGAGGCCAGGAGGAAAGCCAAATGCAATGTTTTAAGGGGAAAGGAATATTGGGAAAAGCCAAATATAATATATTAAGGAGGAAAGAATCCAGTGTTGTGGTTCTGTCAGAGAAGATAGTGCTGTTTAACAGTATCTTGAGCTGAGAAGTGCCCTGTTTTCTCCACACACTTTTGAATTCAGAAAAACAGAACAGAATAACAGAATTGGAAGGGACCTTGGAGATCTTCTAGTCCACCCCTGTGCTCAGGCAGGAAACCCTATAGCATTTCAGACAAAGGTTTATCCAATCTCTTCTTAAAGACTTCCAGTGTTAGAACATTCACAACTTCTGGAGGCAAGTTGTTCTACTGATTAATTGTCCTGACTGTCAGGAAATTTATCCTCATTTCAAGATTGGTTCTCTCTTTGATTAGTTTCCATCTACTGCAGGGTGGGATTCATTTTTTTTTACTACCGGTTCTGTGGGCGTGGCTTGGTGGGCATGACAGGGGAAGGATACTGTAAACTCCCCATTCCCTCCCCACTCCTGGGGGAAGGTTACTGCAAAATCCCATTTCCACCCCACCCCACTAACCTGCTTTCCAGCTCTGTTCTCCTGTGCAGGGCAACCAAAGAAGACCCAGCTGATCATCTGGGACTCGGGAGGCAGAGAATAGATGGGGGCGAGGCCAGTCAGAGGTGGTATTTGCCAGTTCTCCAAACTACTCAAAATTCCCGCTACCGATTCTCCAGTACTAGTCAAAACCTGCTGAATACCCCCTCTGATCCATTGCTTCTTGACCTGACTTCTGTTATTTTGGAGAATAGCTTGACTCCCTCTTCTTTGTGGCAACTCCTGAGATATCAGAACACAACTATCATCTTATTCGCAGCCCTTCCTTTCATTAAACTAGGCATAGAAACCACAAATTATTTCTGGGCATTGTTGTAGCACAGCTATGGGAATTGTCTCTCTCCTTCTTTGGGTTTATCCCTCGCATTTTCAGCATCCTTCATTATGTCACTCTCTCTCTGTTCCTTTTGCTTTCTTTTTAAGGTTCCAGATGTCATCAGTAGTATAAGACAGGCTTCCAAAGCGGCCCTCAAAGAAGATGTCAAGCCCAATAAAGAAAATGAAGATGCCTTCTACAACTCCCAAAAATTTGAGGTTCTGTATTGTGGGAAGGTGACGGTGCCCCACAAAAAGGCCCCCTCCTCCCTCATCGACGACTGCATCGAGAAGTTCCACCTCCACGAACGTCAGCGCCTGAAACTGCTGAGCGAGCACTGCAGCTCCGAGTCCAGTACAGACCTCATGACATGGGAAGATGGCCCCTCTTCCCCCTTGGACAGTCCATTTCAGGAGACGGAGGGCTCCAGCGGAGGCACCCCGGGGATGTTCATCGTGGGGAGCCAGACCAACCTGGCCAGTTTGGCCAGCTGCCGGACCACTTTCCCTGAGCGGATCCTGGAGGACTCGGGAGTGGAGGAGCAGCTGGAATTTCGTTCTCGCTGCAGCAGCGCTGCCAGCCTGCAAAGGAGAGCTCAGGAGAATAACTCCAAGCCTTTATCCCGAAGGCGCCATGCCAGCGCCCCGAGCCACGTCCAGCCCTCCGACTCTGAAAAAAACAGGACAATGTTGTTTCAGGTAGGGACATTTCTGATGTGGGGATGGACAGTCCTGCTGGGCCTACTTTGGTCTTGATGATTGAGTGCTCTTGCACAACACAATGTTATGTCCATTTGGCTGAAATGGATAATAGCCATTGGATATACAGCTATAAGTGCTTTGATGTTTCAGTAGTTGTGAGCTGGTGGGTGCCATTTGGGAGGACATAGTGGGCTTTCGTGGAAGACCTTGCGGCTGTGAGCACTTTTGACTAACCACAATTTTCATTTGGGTTCTTTTTAAAGAGTTTTAATTTTGCCCCTTCAAATTTCTTAATGACTGCAGCCTATGGGATTGAGATATCTGAGAGTCAAAATAAGAGGTATTACTACATAAACGCCTGAGGCGTTTGTATCTTCTGGGGTGTTGAAGAGTAAAGATGGAAAGAGAAGAAAGGAAGAGAGTTGCTAGAAGCAAATTGCTCTGACTGTTCAGACCTCCAAGATGGGGTGAAATTGCATTGTTGTGAGGTAAACACAAGAATGCAAAGAGAGAAAGAGAAAGGGGGAGAGAACAAAAGAGGGCGAGTGATGCAGAGAGGGGGAGAGAGGGAGGGAGGGAAAGAGGGAGAGAGACAGGGAGAGAAAAGAGTTGGATATGTTTTTAATAGCACAGGCTTGGCAGGTCTCCATCTCCGATCAGTGGTCAACAGAAGGTGTTACAGTTGCCCTGAACATGTAAGGAATTAAGTAAAAGGGCTCTTATGCTCTGTGGAGAGGCCCAAAGCAACAAACATTTGGAAACCTAGTTGGTGGACCATTTTGCAGTGGTGGGATTCAGCCGGTTCGCACTGGTTCATTCGAACCGGTGGCTATTTTTTTGTGGAGTTTGGCGAACCAGCTGAATTGCCTCCCTCCCCACCCAGCAAGCAGCCAAGAAGCGAGGCAAGCGGTCAGGCAAGGTCAGGAGGCAATGCACCCCTCGATGTGAGTGACGTCAAGTTGGCCACGCCCACCCAGTCACATGACCACCCAGCCACGCCTACCTGGCCGGTCCTTAGGGCAGACAACCGGTTGTTAAATTATTTGAATCCCACCACTGCCATTTTGTATTTTGGTGGAGGGCAGAAGTTGGTACCAGTTACTTTTCCCAGCAATAAATACTAAGGTGTGAGTTAAGAGAAAAATGGACCGCAGTGTGGAAGATCTCGGTGCAGCTCCTGATCTGTGAAACCGAAGCCAAGGGCTGGAGAATGTCTCTGCAAGACTTTTTCATATATATATATTTTTTAGAGGGTTAGTCAAGCAGCTCCTTGGCAGCATCTCTGACTCATTCTTGGAAGAACATCAGTTTGGGAAGCTTCCCTTTTACGTGCCTTTGATAAACTATGTGAGGAAATATTTTGGTGCTGGGCCCACAGGTTTCAGAGCAGCTCCCCCCTCCCCCCGAGATATTCTGCATCACCTCCTGCTTTGACATGTGTTTTTTTTTCTCTCTTCCAAGGTTGGTCGATTTGAAATTAACCTCATCAGTCCAGACTCCAAATCAGTTGTGTTGGAGAAGAACTTCAAAGACATCTCCTCGTGTTCTCAGGTAAGAAGGACAATTGGAATCCCAGCTTGGAGAAACAAGGCTGGACAGGTTTTTGAAAGGCCTACATTTTTAAGACCTAGTGATTGTGAAGGAAGCTAGAGGTGACCTTCCCCCCCCCCCCCCCCCCAGTTTTCTTCTTTTAGCTGTGGGATTTGGCTTATGCTGGCAAATGTAGCTTTTTATGGAACCCAATTTTGGAGGGGGAGCAGGGGACACATTTGGTATTTGGGAATGGTGCCTTCTAGATGACCACCAAGATGAAGGTTGTGTTCACAAAGGGGGCTGCAGGAGAGGACCAGGCTGAGCCTGAGGGAGGAGTCAAGCGCGTCATCAGTCTCAAGTCCCTTCACAGAGATCTAAGGCCAGCCCACCTTGAATTCCATTGGTTCTTATCTACCGCCAATTTGCTTTGGCTGTTAGTAGTTCAGATTCTTATAGAAGCACAGCATAGCATACCCCGACAACGACCAGCAACTGAACCCAACATTTCTGTTGCTAAGCAAAACATGTGTTAAAGTGAATGTCGGTCCATTTCACAACCATTCTGGCCACAGTTGTTATGTGAATCATTGCAGTTCTTAGGTTAGTAACCCGGTCGTTAAGTGAATTTGGTTTCCCCTCCCCGGACTTTGCTTGTCAGAAGGTTGCAAAAGAGGATCACATAACTCCGGGACACTACAACAAGGGGTGGGCTGCTACCGATTTGCCTCAATTCAGGCGATCTGGTACCGAACCAGTAGCTAAATTTATGGCCAGTTCGGCGAACCAAATCCTGATTTCCTAAGCATGACAAGAGGCCAAACCCCAAAGACTTCTTCCTAAGACAGCAAACAGATTAACAGAGTTGGAAGGGACCTTGTAGGTCATCTAGTCCAACCCCCCACCCAAGCAGGAGACCCTACACCATTTCTGACAAATGGCAGTCCAATCTCTTCTTGAAAGTCTCCAGTCATGAAGCTCCTCCTCTTTCATGAGGAAATCCGTCTTCTCCAGGGCTGGGATTCTACCTGGTCAGACCAGTTCTATAGAACCGGTTGTTACGATTCTGAGCAGTTCGGAGAACTAGCAAATCGCACCACTGGCTGGCCCCTCCCCACCCCCTCATTCCATACCTGGCATGCACGCCATCAAACTTGCCTGCATTTGGTAAGTTGCTGTTTTTCCTTCCTCCCCCCCCACCATCAGCTGTTCTGCTGTGCTGGGAGATTTAGATTAGCTAGAAAGCAGGAAATCATTGGATTTCTTGCTTTCTAGCTAATCTAAAAGCAGAGCTGAACCTTCCTTAGGACTGAAGCTTCTATTTTTCAATGCAGACTCAGGTAGCAGATTGCAGAAAGATAGATCTCTGAATGAATCTGTGATTCTGCAAGCAACTCAATCTGCCTGCCTGCTTTGCCTGATTTTGGGTAAAAGTTGTTTTTTTTTAATTAAAAATAAATAAATATTTACATAAATATTTATAATATTTACATGCAAGCCACACCCACCCAGTCACATGACCACCAAGCTGTGCCCAATCAGCAAGCCACGCCCACCCAGTCACATGACCACCAAGCCACACCCACAAATTAGGCCACGCCCACAGAACCGATTGTTAAGAAATTTGAATCCCACTCCTGGTCTTCTCCAGTCTGGTTTTCT